GAAGATGGGTAGACGAGACCACTACCCGAAACGTCAGGCTTATAATAAACTTGAGAAGTCTTCTACATCACCCATCAACGCCGTCATAGACCGGCTCTCCCAAGGTCAAATCAACATCGAACTTAAATTCCCTCCCTCCCTTTCAGAAAATATCCTCGCCGTGCAATAACTTTCCTGCTAGAAAGCACCAGCTTCCGACGCGATCCCAGGTAAAATCTGCAAGCACGGCACCTACCGACTGATAGACTATCTCGCAATGGACTTCTAAGAAGTGTGGACTGGTTCTTGAGGATTCCAAGGGCACCACAATCGTCCATATGCACAAGCACAATGGTAGCCGACAACGTTGTGATAATCACAATAATATATGGCTTCTCGACATCGAAGGAAAAATAATATCTCGTCTTCCACGCAACCATCGTCTTAACGGCCATCTGGAGTAAGGACTCCTCCCCCAAACAAAATGCGTCTTCTCGCGACACCAGGTGTCACCATCACGAACTTTGCCGTGCCAGCACGGGCGGACCCGCCTCTAAACTATCTGTGTGGAGCTAGCAAAAGCTCCTGATACGGTGGATAGCGATAAACTGTAGAACATTATGCAGATATTTAAACTCTGATGAGGACCAGTAGTGCAAAACAACATCTAGGAACGCATGAAGAAAGTTGAAGTGGGATTGGGAGGAAGTGAATATAGCAATAAGTAATCCGTTTAGGCTGATATTCCTCTGTTAAGCTGGTCAGCAAATAGTATACATAAAACGCGTTCAGCATACCTAAGACCCGCTGTGAGAAGGTATGGTTGAGCAGATAGCGATGTACCTTGAAGGTTCAGAGTTCACGAAGATAGATGACCTGACGCAGCGAAACCGAAGGCACAATCCCGTTCTCTGGTTATCACATAAGTCTGGAGATGTCTGCTGCCTCCCTTATAGCAGGTCAAATGCGCAGCCACTGCTGTTCAAAGTTTACTTACTAGTACTTGATTAGTTTGTGATCATTCCTGATCCAGCCGGCCTTAATGATCTCACGGACGGTACCTGTCCAGGCGTGAGGACTAGCGGCAGCGGATCTGGAAAGCTCTACCCATACTCTACGCCAGCGACGGAAACCGAAAGCCGAAGGCCCAATGCACGCTTCGATGTCTTGACGGACGGTGTCGAGCCAAGTCCTAAGTTGTCCTCCTCTTCGACGCTTCCAAGTAGGCTGTGGCGCCGGATCGAGGGTAGTTTAACAAAGCTCGTGAGGCGGCCGACAGAGAACTTGCCTAAACCACCTCTCAGCTATCATCATGATATGGTCGCAGCGAGTGCCGAATGTCTTATTTGAGACAAAGTCGGTATACTTCACTCGAAAGATGGTCCCCGGGCAGATGTGGTCAAATACCTCAAGTCTTCGTTCATCGTCAACGTTCAAAGTCCAGCATTCAGATCCACAGAGGAGGACTGAACGGACGGATGCGCGGTGCACACGGATCTTCGTGGCGATGGAGAAGTCGCGTCGGATTCATACGCGCTTTCAGGGGATTTAAAAAAAAAACCCAGCAAGTAACATCGATTCAGGATACAATGTCGTAATAACTCTGTCCATTCTGTAGCAGCCTCGCCCTGAGGTAGCTCCGAAGATGTTTTCTCCTTGAAGTTGATGGTCATTAATCCCCAGGAGTGCCTTCTTCTCAGTGCGAGTTCGGTGCTGCGAAATTCCGAACTTCTACAGCTGAATCCCCCCACAACCTCTCCAATACTATTCTTATCCCGCATCCCCTTTGCGTCATTTATAACAACCGGAGTAGTAATGCGCAAAGACTCGGTAGGGTTGTAATGCTATTGATAAAATAATGGCTAGCGCTGGAATGTACAATCTATTATTAGAGAGAGAGAGAGAGAACCGAAAAGAGGGCAAAAAGATGGCTGTAAATGTAGACG